CTCACACTTTTCGACTTCTATTCCAGTTATTCTTAAATTTTAAATGGAACTGGAAATGGTCAATCTTTCTCATTCAGAATATTAAACAAGACTTTAATAATTAAAATCTTATTACAATATTATACTTTATCAACTGTCTGACTGTAGTAAATATTTTAGACTAATTTTCGCATTATGATATACTTTACATAGATAATACCAAGAAGTTGAAAATGGCTACTAAGTGGCGCAAATTGCATCGAGAGACGGCATGATGCCTACGTAAACAAATTCATCACTCTATATTAATCTTAATTAATTAACTAATACGTACCTTGTCAAAAATTGTGGCGCCCTTGAAGAAAGTTCGAGCACAAGAAAAAAAAAATCCTATCAAATGAAATGTTAATAATAGGTCATGTGGATATAATTATAAATTACGACAATGAAAGAAAAATGTAAAATGGATTATGGATAGGATGAATCCACTTCCAAGATAAGGAAAAAAAAAATTCATTTGTAGTTTTGTGTTAGTTCGTAGATTCGACAGAGGGAGATTTTTCTTTCTTTTTTTTCAGTTTTATTTAATTGAGAGGAAATTAAAAAAAATGGACATAAGAAGAGAAATGAAACTATTATCATCATTATCAAGATTGGATCGATTATTCTAAAAAGAAAATAAAATAGACGAATGTAGCTAGCCAGTTGATTATGATCAACTTGGGGAAAGCAATTTGCGGGCATTGACTTTGTTACTCTTCCTAGAGGAAATTAATCAGTCAAATTGTTCAACTTCTTCTTGGAAGTCTTCCAATGCATGCACACTTGAAATGTACAGCTGCTGCATGACTACATGTACAAATATTCTATGGTTTTTATCACACACATCCTTTGATGTAAGTTAAAGTATTTTTTTCCCAGGTATAGTAGAAAAGACTATCTGTTTAATAACCACTGAAGTCTGAATCTGAACACTTAACACTTAATATTAAAGTCTGAAGTCTGAAGACTGAATTTACATTATTTGATAAAAACGTCTGAATTTGATGTCTGAAGACTGAAGTCTGAAGTCTGAATACTGAATCTGAATCCTGAGGTCTGAAAGTTATTTAAATTTTTAATCTCATTAAAATTGAATAATAAACAAAATTCTTTTAAATAGAAAAATAATTAATATTTTATTCTGAATAATAAAATAATAATTTAAAATAAGTTTTTGGTATATATAATGAAAGTATATATTACAATTGATAAATAATCAATATATAATTAAATTTAGATTATTTACATATATCAATATATATGTATACCTTATTATTTAGCAAATTTTATGTATTAAAAGTAGTTTAATTTGAGTTTGAAAGTTTGAGATATTTTATACTCATAATATAAATTCAAGTTTAAACACTTTTAATTAATTTATCTTAAGAAAATAAAAATTTTAAAACAATGTAAAAATAAACGTCGAAATAAAGACAAAGAAAAAAAAAAGAAAAGAAATAAAAGAGCCATTACAGAAATTAAGTGATAAGTAAGTGATAAGTGGTAGATCTATCACTTATTTTCTGGCTCACAAATGAACTGGTTATTCAGACGCACTTAATTAATTCAGATAGTGAAATTTTAGTTATCAAATGCACTTAATTTATAAGTACTTAATTAGTTCAGAACTTAATTAATTAAGACTTTTTAATAGTGATTATCAAACACACTTAATTTCATTAAGTACTTAAATAAATGAATTCACTATATTAAGTGATTATCAAATAGCATAAAAAAATTTGTAATTAAATCAAATTATTGTACTCCCTCCGTCCCATAATTATTGTTCAGTTTGGATTTTTATTTTTAGTTAAAATTGTACTAAAAGTGAAATCTCAAACTGGACAATAATTTTGGGACAGAGGGAGTATTACGTGGATGCGAGAAGTGGGAGTCTCTAGCTATGGTTTTACACGAGGTAAATCCAATATAAGCAGTTAAACCCTAGACTTCTCATTGTTAAGGTTGCCATATAACCTGTTACAAAATCAATCTCGAAAAATTATGATGAGAAATTTATTTTAATGCTTAAGAAATGAAGATTATGTTGAATTTTTACATTTCGACTGAACAGCAATATCTGCAAGAGTCAACTCAATGCATCATTGAAGACAAAATAATGATTTCACATTTATAAAATATGTTTAACCTTTAAAAGAAATGTATAAGAAATTTGAGTTTTTTTTTTCTTAATATCTTCTAAGAATAAATCAAGCTCTTTCTAACCGAAATAGTTTTATGTGCATTCATTTTTTCTCCAGAAATCTTTGCTCCAAAATAGGTACACTGGAACCAAAGCAGGATACATTATCCGTGGTGAATCGTATATATATTCACATTACTTATGATTTTGATCAGTTATTTCTACTTAACAAAATTCAATTAATTAGCAAAAACATTATACTCCCTCCGCTCTTTAATATAAGGCATTTTGATATTGTCTTAGATTTCATCTAGTACGTATTTTTAATTGTCGAAAAAATCTTAAAATTATATTTTCACATTTGTTGTATTCTCTTGATTATTATGAAATATTTTTAAGATTTTTTGGTTAATTAAAATTACGTATTAGGTTAAACCTAAAACAAATCAAAATGCTTTATAATAAGGACCGGAGAGAGTACATAATCGGTGGCATGAAAAACGTTTGGGCAAAAAAACTTGTTAAGAGCTATTATCGCGAGCAAGATTTATAATGATTATTATTCCCGGGTTCCTCCAATTCGGTTTCTAGCTCTGAAATAAAACTAGAAATTGGACTTAGAAAATGGGAGGACAGAGTAATTAACTAATGAAACACACACCCGTCGTAAGATCATATAGTTACCAAGCCCAAAAGAAAAGCGTACCCATTAGACGCTGTCAAAGGGTAATTCATTTAACATAAGTCACTAAGTCAGTCCCTTTCAAGGCGACTACATAGTGGCCAAGGACATCGTCACACAGGTAAATTTCTTCCTTTTCTTTATGTATGTATTTGTTTATTTATTTTAGGGAGTTCTCATCATATGTGAACGTATATGGGATGAAGTTTATTAATTTAAATTGCGGTGATTATATTGATGAAGGGGGTGGCGCGTTGAGTTTGTGAGTGTTAAGCATTCACTTAGCTTACATTTGATAATTGTTAAATGTACTCACTAAGAAAAAATCATTTTAGCTAAACGGAATTCAATATTATTCTTTTTCGTCCAAAAAAATAATAATAATGATGATTTAGTCCACCATATTCCCTTCATTTGGAAGAGTAGTTAATTTATCGGGTTGCTATAAAAATTTGCATAAATTTATCTAACGTGGAGGATAAAAAATCGTTTTGAAAATAGTTGAATAAGAAAAGAACTCAGACACAACAACTTCATATGATTACACTCTTATCAACTCTGGTTAAATTATAGTTACTCATGAAGTCTTTCTCTCTAAATATCTGCGCGGGCGCGCGCACACACACACATACATACATATATACATGTATATATCTATATATCAGAAATTTGTGCATTTTCACTGATTAAAATATAAAAAGGGTCAACTATTAGGTCTCAATCAGCTATGATATTAGCCACTAGATAGCTATAGAACACAGAACCCCTAATTAAGAAGAAATTCAGCCATATGTTGTCATCAAAAAAATTACTCCATTATTCTTAACTTATTACTCCATCAAAAAGTGAAGTGTTAATTTCGTGAAACATTGAGTTATTTTTCTCTTGACCATACAATTAATGCATGCATGAAATGAAATAGAGAATAAACTAAGAAAAGCTTAGTGGAGCCATTTCAGAGATCTAAATTAAAATGTTCACTAGTAGTCAATAGGTGATGATAATTGAGACGTATGAATGTAGAAGTGCTTTTGCGTCAAAGGGTATTATTCTATAAAATTGGGCAAGTTGAAAACATCAAGGATGGCATGTAAAAGTAACCTCTAATCTTATTTGATTTATGATTGATGGAAGATTTTATAAATTTCATCTGACATTTGTTTAAGATTCATTTTCCCGATCGTATCAATTATAAGTTAGTTGATTTCTAGTAAGTTTATATAACTGGAAATTCTTATTTTTCTTTATTAAAAAAACAATTAAAAGTCAGTTGATGTGTTTACAACTTTACATCTTTAAATATTTCTAGCAATGACAACTAGTACCTTTCTGGATTTTCATTATAAATGGTGTATAATCACGACTTGAAGAAGAAACCGTGGCTTTATTTCTAGCTGGTATTAGAAGTATATAATATAGGCGTTTGATATCTGACTTCTTTAATTTATTCCCATATTGACGAACGTATTTTTATTAATCCTAAAATTCAAATTGCAAGGCAAATTCTGAACATATGTTTTTAATCACCAAAGAATCAAATCATATCAAGTGCAATAAATAAATTACACTATTTACCTAATCCCAACAAATTTGCTTAATTAATAGTACTATGTCGACAGACAAGAGTGTGTACTGTTATCTCTTCCCAAATTTAAAATGTCCCAATTATTACAGGTCTCGTCATTGAACAATAGTGCCACCCCCCGGAAAAAAAGAAAAAAAAAACACACACAAAGAAGAAGAAGATAATTACGAGGAAATATAGACTACTTATTTTTATACAATAAGTTGGAATCGGGCATTGCTAGTCGTTGCGTTTGAAGGATATATAGTACAACATTGGAACCAGATGTATCAAAATAGAATGATATTTCGTCCCACTAATGAAATAATTATGTTTAACAATATATATTAACATGTACTACAATTGGCACTTTATAGACATTCCTTCTGTCCTAAAATTATTGTTCAATTTGGATTTTCACTTTTAGTTTAATCTGTACTAAAATTAAAATTGAAATTAGATAATAATTTCAGGACAGAAGAAATAGATTTTAAGTGACCATGTCCATTCAAAAAGATGCCGATATGCGTATATAAGTAAGTGTTAAGATTTAGGGATCGAGAAAATCCATTGCACAACCGTTGAAATATATAATGTGAGACTAAATAAAATGGTATAACTATTTACTCCATTTTTTTTTCACGTAGAAACTACGTATATTAAATCACTCGTACAGCTTATGTTTTCATTGACTGATCAATCAATCAGTCCCACTCGTAAATTTTACATCCACAACTTGCCCATCCATCCTTCCTTCTTCTTCTTCTTTGGCCTATAAATACCTAAACTTGAGCTACCATTTTGCTCATCAAATTGACCTCCATTTTCTTTACACTTTCAACCCTTTTAGGTAATCTACTCGAATTTTCAATTCATTTAGTTCACTAGTCCTAGATAACAAGCTAGTAGACTAATACTCTCAACAAAAATCCAGAAAAAAATGGCCGGAATTGAAGGTCAGAAAATTATCAACCTCCCTTATACCTCCTCCACCCCCTCGAGTGCTAATAATATGATCACTCTCAAAACTCACAAAATCAGCTTCTTTGCCCAAATTTTCTGCCGGGTTCTGGTCACCGGCGCCGCCGTCGCCGCCACATGGATCATTCTCACCAGCAAGCAAACCGTTGTTATATTTGGGATGACCGTTGATGCTCGTTACAGCTATTCTTCCGCATTCAAGTAAGAAAAAGAGTGAAAAAAAAAAGAAAGAAACACAGTTTGTTGAGCTATTTAATTCATTAATTTACATGTATACGTTTCATATCTTCTCTATAAATCATTTATGTATGGCTGCTCTTATTTTTTTTGGTAATTCCTTATTGTTTTCAAACAATTTTGCAGATTCTTTGCCTATGTTAATCTCATCGTCTCCGGGTTCACAGCCTTATCTTGTTTCCTTCTTATCATCATTGGAAACAAAGCTTTCACCACCAAGAAGTATTTCTGCTTATTTCTCCATGATTTGGTATGTGAACATTTTCGGCATTTTCCTTGCAAATAGTAGTACTTGATTTTCTATTGTGTAATTTAGAAAATTAGGTAAACAAACTTTTAACAAAGTGACACCAAGGTGGAAAGCTAAATCATCCTATTTACTAATTTACTTTCCTTTGGTTTTTTTTTTTTAGCGAAATAATAATTGTTTTCTTTTTTTTTTCTCTACAGAATATGACGACATTGTTGATGGCAGCATGCGCAGCTGCGACTTCATTTGGAATGATTGGACAGCATGGAAATGAACATGCTGGTTGGATGCCTATTTGTGATCATTTCCACAAGTACTGTGGAAGAGTTAGCATTTCTATTGCACTCTCTTACTTTAGCGTGGTCCTCTACCTCATCCTCACAATCATGTCCGCATATAGTTCCAGATAGACACAGAATCACTTGCGTTGATTTGAGAGAGAGAAATCGAGCCGTGAAAATCTGATGATCGGTAATGTCTTATGCGTTCATTTTAGCAGAAGACGGAAAAGAGAATTTTAAGTTGATCAATTTGAAGCTCCTATTGTTGTGTTGGCTAGCTTAGCTGGTGAAAGGTGTTATGAGATATGCATTTAATCTAGTAGTAGTTTCCATGTTTGTAATTTTGCTTCTTACGTTTGGAATTTCTTAGTAAAGGTAGAGAGTACTACGGATGAAATTATGAATTATTTCACAATCATATGTTACTTCCACTTTTGTTATTTTTCCTTTTGTGATTTTTTTCTTCCTGGATTGATGTGAGAATATCTTTGTAATTCAAGGAGTTACATTTGAAGTAAATTTAAAACTATATTGGCAAACAACCAAAACTTCTACATTTGAATACAATTAACACTTGAAGAAACGTCTATAATCGAGAGATATCAATTTAGATAATAGTTCCAATTTTCTATTCTGTAACACTCCACTCAACTAAAATTTATTTAGTACTAGTTCTATTTCCATCGCGCTACACGTGACCAATTCTTTTATTGATTTGATTTTCTTTTTTGCTTTATAATGGCATGAGTAGATGTGGCTAAAATGTGATAAATGAAAAGGAATAAAGAACAGAGGAATACACAAAGATCACAGCAGGACAAACGACTAACATTCTTAAAAACAAATCAAAATGTACTTACTTGAGAGATTATCCTTCAACAAAGTAGTCATACTTATAAAAGCTCGTCGGATCTACAAGCTCGTCACTTTGTAACTTTTGCATTGCATTTGGATCATAGATATGGAATATGTTGATTATAAAGTTCTTTGAATCAAGATATTCCATAACTATAGCCATATGCATCTATAAGATTGGCTTAAGAAATAAATAGCCGATTTGGCACTAATGTTAGGGAATAGAAGAGGAAAGCGATTATCAATGGCCTGGAAATAAAAAGAAAACAGAATTGAGTTTTGATCAATATGTGTTGTTTTTCTCATAAAATCTCTTTGAATCGAAAAGTGTATATCTTGTAATTGCTAATGAACTACCAATAATGTTCCATGTTGAAAAAGGCTACAAACCAAAAGTAATTTATCAAACAACGTTCACAACTATCAAAAGCTTCAATGCCACCATGAGAAAAACTATTTTCCATACAACGCCATAAATTAAGTGCATGGCTCCATATTTGGAGATGCTAATAAAAATTTTCATCTTGGCTACAAAACTAAAATGAAGGATAATAGAGATCACACATAAAATCATTTCGAATAAAAGACTACTATAAATGGTCGGATCAAAACTATAAAATCATCTAGCTTTCTTTACCGCACAACCTAATCAAAATGCAAGCCTTTCCATTATCTTCTCTTTTCAAACCTGAAAAGAGTTTGGGAGAATATATAAACAATATACAGCATCAAGTATTACACAGCAGAAGGGCTCTGAATATAAACTTGAGACAACAATGAGAGCTATTTGTTTCAGTCAAAGGACTACATCAGCTTGAAGATCTCTTAAGACCACAAATAAAGACCCAATCCAGTAAATTCAACACACGTTCGTTATTAAAAATATTAATAAAACTAATATCATACATGTTTTTATTTTATTAGTTAATCTATAAAACTAACAGAGCACCCCAACATCAATCTCTTGAAAAATGGTTTCCAATACCAATAAAAATCTGTATTGAACTAGGCAAAAAGTACCAAAACAAATAATCATGAAGATATAAAAGAGAAAGCAGTGTTGCGTCTGCATACTAACTCCTAATCCTAAAGGAAAGACAAATAACTTTTACAAATGAGCTTAATAACTACAAGAAGAAGAATGAAAAAAATGAAAAAAACAAAAACAAACAAAAAGAAGAAAATGAACATGAGAATGGAAAACAAAAAAGTAGTTGCCTATTCCAAAGATTTCACACTATCAAATACCACAATGTAACCCAATTGCGATCATAAACCTAAACCAGATACATTATTTACAATCAAATAAAACAAGATCAAAACCTTCGAGTGGGGAGCAACCTAGTAGACTCCAGCACTAACAATAAATTATCCTCCAGTTTTATCACATGGAATCTCTCAAACCTAAACTTTAATTAAAAAAAATCAAATAAGAAAAATGGACTAAATTTTATATTCAAACTACTCTGAAGTAATGAGAAGGCATCAATAAGCTCGAATTTGTTCACGTGAGAGCTTCAATCTAGGATACACTGAATAACATCTAACATTACCACTATTGAATATCAAAATTATTTGCGTTTATTTGTTCACTACATTGAACATCAAAGATGAGATGTTTTTCTTGGTGTATGATTTCGAATTGTAATTAATTAACTATTTGGTGTATCTTCCCTTCGGCTTCGGCGATGCGGGCTTTGAGCTGCTTTATTCGTTTTATCCTGGAAACCATTCATTCACACATGCAATCAAAAGTTATATCTCTGTCAATAACAATTGTCATTTTTACCACCATCATCGGCTAACAATACTAAATAACGACCAATTGGGGATGTCAATGTTCCACAACACCCACCATTAAATGTCGATTGTCCACGTCTGCCCATAATCGGATGTGTTGAATTCCAACCCTATCAGAATCGTTCATGGCGGAACCGCAAATTAGGGTTTCGAAACCAGAGGATTTGCATCATAGCCCCGAGATCGTGCCTAAAGGTGGAAATTATGCGAAGAAAAACTCATTAACAAACGGGAGCAAAGTCGGAGGACAGGAATTGTTAAACGACATCGTTTTGACCGCCTAAATATTAATTCATTTTCGGGAAAGAGTCCTTTCGGCAGGACAATGCCATAATTGCCCTCGCTTCAAATTGTGATATCATATGAGACACTTATTGACCAATCAAATCAAATAATTTTAAAATGCTAATGTCATGTGAAGTTATGAGCCAATCAGATAGCTAAATTTAAATATTGACCAATCATATTCAATATTCTAAATTCACCAAGAGGCATTTACTTATGTACAGATAATGAAGACTACATGAGGGCGTTACGCGAATGATCTGTTTTTGAGAAGGAACTGATACTCTATATTATGAATTTTAATAGTAGAGCTTATAATTAAAACCCTCTTTTGCCAACGAAAGGCATAAATCGAATTATTACATCATGATAGTTTCACATACGTACGCACCGGTCTGGAAAAGAAGGTAAAAACTTTTTTCCTTAACATCTCCCATATCTCTCGGTCCTCACAAAAAGAAAAAGTAAAATCCACCAGTGAATTTTCCCTAGTATTGGAAACTGAAAATGAAAAAGAGGTAAAAAGTGTACTAAGACACTTGCATCGCTCGTTTGGTGATATTGCAAATTCTTGGCCATAAATTTGGAGGTATAATAGTAATTAAAAAAAAAAACGTTTTTATTAGCTTTAGGCTGTCGAATAATTTACTATGTTGGTTTACTTCGTTTTAATATGAAGGATATTTTTTATTAGTTATTATTGTGGCAAAAGTTATACTATATTGGTAAAGGAATTAGTTCAAAATCATGGAATACCTAACATTTCTGAGGGCCAAAAAATGTCTCGTCTTCATGTCCATGTATATCTTATTCTATCAATTCATTTAGTAACTTAGCTAAGACGTGTTAAATTAGTTTTTATATAAAGATTGTTCTTCACGATTGTAGCATATGTAAGATTAGGACAATAATTTTCCATCATTAGCTAAAAGTTATGTTTGTCATTAGAATAAGGATAAATTTTGAGTATTAGTGATACTACTAGTTCTTAGCTAGGAGCTTTGGATGAGTTATTTTGGTTGGATAAATCCTAAGATAGAGAAAATCAGCACTTTCTAAAAAGAAAGGGGGAAAAATTAAAACAAATTATAGTTACTCATCGTAATCTTCCATTATAGGGACTTTGTAGTCTCCATCATGGGGAATTATTTTTTCTCAATCGGTAATTAGTTTGGCCTTCATAAACAAGTGGGAAATTTACAGATTGTATAGATCTACAAAATTCAATCATAATTAATCTTGAATTGATTTAGGGTATGAACTTTTTCAGGCTGACATATTTCTGGATTCAATTTCTGTCTTTATTTTTTGTATTTTCTATTTTGTTTGAATCGATTTCTTCCAAAAAAAAATTTTGTTTTTTTTTTTTTTTTTTTTTTTGGGGTGCGTGTGTGTTCCAATGTAGTTTAATTGACTCATATAAGGCCAAATTTTATTTTCCAGCCAACATTAATCGACTTTGGATTTTCTTTAATAGAATCTAATCATGATTTATAACGGATTAATCATCTGAGTAAATTGTTCTCCAACATCACTTTTAGCTTTAGGTGTGATTTTGACCTTAACGTTCAAAATTTTTTAGTGTCCTCACTTTTAGTTTTATTTGTTCTAATTTGTGTCTTCATTTTAATTATGCAATAATCCAATGATCAGGTATTTACATGTAACGCTCTTTGTAGGTCCAAAGTAGCTAAGGGAGAAACAAAGCAAGATTGTGTCTCGGATACTGTCCAAAATTTGAAATGAAATCCCCAGTTAATTAGACTAATTAAGAAAAACAAAATTAATCAACGTACGTAAGTGACAAAATTAAAACTTGGTACTTACGTGATGAAATGAATTAATGAAAGTATTTCTTTATTTTTTTTGAAAAAAAGTTAAAGGGACAATTTTCCACCATTAATTCTGCATTTGTTCCCAGTTCCCAGGTCAGTGATATGTAAGTGAATTAGATAGACTTCAAGCTCCTTGAAATAAGCAATGACATCCCTCAATATTATTCCCCATCATATTAAAAATGATAGAGATCAAACTTTATTATAGTAAAATAAAATTAAGTAACACGTAAAATAAAATTTAACATTTCTCGGTAAAGCGTAATTTTGCATTTTTATGTACAGCACATGTTACGTCACTAAGAAATTTCACAGAATATCTCTTTTAGTATCTTTATCATGCCATTTCAAATGAACCAAAAATATATATATATATATGTATATATTATTATAAAAATCTAGAACTCTATTCTTCTTATTCATAGGATTGAGGGAATTAAGGTCTTTGACTATAACTAGAGATCTAATTCCTCGTAACACATGCAGATAAACCACGATCCTTAAAAAAAAAAAAAAAAGAAGCCACACGGCATGAACCAGTCCACGATCTTGTTATGTTTTGAGTTAGATTTATTTTAGCTGTCACAATCCTAACTTCCCCGCACATTTTTCTCATTATAGTTGCTACCATTTTTTTCCTGTCAGTTACTAACTTAATTAGTACCTGAAATCCTAAAACATGATTAATTAGTCTCAGTTTGATTCTTTCTTCTCTTCTTCAAGATAGACAAATTTTTCCTTAATTAATCCAAAACTTCCTTCCTCTTCATCTTCAAGAAATTAACAACATTTTTTTAACCGTATAATTTCATGGCAACGAAGCCTGGCAATGGTTTCTTAGGGTTCCAAGTTATCTTCCGGTTTCTGGCAATAGCGGGCACCATTGCTGCCGCCTACCTCATAATCACCACTACGCAAACCATATCACTTTTTGGGATTCAGTTTAGTGCTCGTTATAATTATTCTTCAGCTTACAAGTAAGATATCATACATTTTTTTTTAATTCTTTGTTAATTTTATTTTTTTGATTAAAGAAGAAAGAACCCTTTTTGGCATCGGATTGATTTATTTGTTTGTTACTTTTGATCAAGTGTTAGAAAGATTTGACGGGATTTATTGTTTCTTTCAATTTGCAGATTCTTCGCGTATGCAAATTGTGCTGCTGCTGGCCTTTCGTTCTTTACCCTCATGTCTGTTCTACTCATTAGGCCTGGGAACTACTTCATTGTGTTCCTCCATGATTTGGTAAGTTTTCTCTTGCATCCATCTTCACTCAAATTGTTGGAACATTATGTAAGATATTCTAGTTAGGCCATTTCGATTACTATTACTTTTTGTATCACATAATGACCGTTCTGTTTCTAACAGTAATCCAAGAAATTCTCAAAACGAGATCTTATATATATGCACCGATTATTTTGTACCAGATCTTGATTTAGTTACACTAAAATAGTGAGATTGTTTTATTGTACTTATGAATAAAACGATCTCATTTTATTGATAATATATCTTGATCCCATTACGTTACTAATCAGTGATTTTTTTTTTTTTCCTTGAATTAGGTTGTAGGAATGTGTTTAATGGCTGCGTGTGCAGCAGCTACTGCATTTGGATTCATAGGGAAATACGGGAATAGCCACACGGGTTGGTCACAAATTTGTGACAAATTCGCCAAATACTGCGACAAGGTGACCTACGCTGTGGGAGCTTCTTATGCTGCTGTCGTTTTTTACTTCATCCTCACCATCATGTGTGCCTACAAATCCAACACCCCTCAATGAAGAACCAGTTGAATCTTTGTTTAGAGTGGGTGGAGGAAATCAATTAATTCATTAATATGCGATAGGGATTAATTAATTTTTTTAGTGACTTCTCTTTTGGTTAATTTCGTTGTCTTTTGTTTAATTAGTGTAGATCCTTATGATTAAATCACTAGGAATTGATTTTTTGTGAACCTATTCTTTATGAACCTTAGGCTTATCAGTTGATCTTTATTGTTTGATTACAATTGTAGTTTGTCCTTTTAATTGCACAAAGGCCACAAGCATTTGGCTCCCTTTAGTCAATTACTAATTTATAAACTTTTGCTGTACATTTTTTTTTTTACTTATTGTCATTTTTTTTCACTTCTTTCAAATTATTGTTCAATTTTAGATTTTTATTTTTTGATTTAAACTATACTAAACGTAAAAAATTAAACTGGATAATAATTTTTGTACAGAGGGAGTACAAAGTTCGCCCAATCTTTTAAATGTTGTTGAGTCTTGTCTGGAGCGATCAGTATCGACCTCTTGGAAATCTTCAAATACCAAAAAAGAAGAAATTTCAAATTGTAAGTACATTATCACTATATTAATTGTTTGTTTCGTTGAAGATGCACAGCAAATCTAGCGGAGCAAAATTTGCACGGAATCAACAGTCAAGAATTACCAAGAGTTGCAAAACACGGGAAAATCATTAAAAAAAATAAAAATGAAACCAATTTAATGAGAATGTGAAAATACAGATTAGAAATGAAAAAGTTGTCAGTCATTGTGGAACACATAACTAATGATTTTCATTTTTATTTTTTTTGGATGCTAAAAATCCCTAAGTTGCAGCTTAAATTAACCATTAACCATTCAGTGGTTGTCACTTTTTTTCCCCTTCTTTTTACATTCACGTGCTTTGAATTGTTCCATAATTTATGCATCACCTGGTTTAGAGACTTGTGGCCCTCTTAATTTTACAATGATCTTTGTGTTGGTCAAAAACATAAAGATAAAAGAAAAATATGGTAAAAGAAATAAAAAATTTTTTTTGGTAAAGATAAAATATATTTCTTCAACCAATAAAACTGTTTTCTTTACAATCAAAACTGTGAACTATTCCATACTACGTCTGTACAAGTATGCCTATTCTATTTAAAAAAACAATCTCAGATTGCTTCAACTTCTTTTTGCTCACCTGAAAAAACTATCCAAGCTCTTGTTTGATTTTATTACAGCATGCCACTGTTTCCATCTTCTGGGCATATCTTCTTGCATTTCTTTCCAACCAGATGTGGTAAATACAAGCTATAACAGCTCCACTAACTAGTCCTCTCTTCAAGCTGTTATGGCCACAACCATTTCTGATTCTGTTGGCCAAGTGATCAACTGTCAAGCCTCTTCCTCTAAACTCAAGCCAACCCAGTAACTCCTTCAATATTTTTTGAGTATACTCACATTGAAACAGTAGATGCTGAGTGCTCTCTACACTACCTGTCTCACATAGTACACAATCAACAGTTGCAGGTATGATATTTAGCTCTAGCAGTCTGCTTATAGTGAGCAATCTTCCTTGACATGCAATCCAAGCGATAAAACTATGCTTGGGCAAGCATCTTCCATTCCAGATCACCTCTGCCAGTTTGAATTTCTCCCCTTTGTTGCGTTATTGCTGCTGGTATGCCATTTGATAGTAAACTTACTGTTCTGCTTCCAGATGCCAGTATCAATCTCCCCTTTCATTCTTGCTTTAATTTTCATTTTTCGGCGCCAATGCTAGCTACTATCAGTGGGAAGTTCATACTCCCATATGCCCTTTCCCTTCAAATAATAACATGCACCTATTTCACCCAGAGAATCTCTTTACACTGAACAATGTCCCAAATCCGCTTAGCGATTGCAGCTTCATTCCACACAGTAGGGTCTCTAACATTTAAACCCCCTTCTTTTTTAGGTCTGCACACCTGAGTCCAAGCTACTAACGCCATCCTGTTGCCTGGTTCATTACTCCCCCAAAGAAAACTTCTATAGAGTCTCGTAATCTGGGTAACTACTCTTTTTGGAAGTAAAAAGGTATTTCCCCAATAAACATAAAGAGAGCTCAATACAGAGTTAATCAGTTGACACCTGCCAGCATACGACAGGTGCCTCGATTTCCAACTTTGCAGTAGCTTTGTAACCCTATCCACCATCTGCTGACAGTCATGCTCTTTCCACTTACAGGAGATATCGGCAACCCCAAGTATCTCATGGGAAAACTACCCTCTTCAAACTCCATACACCTATGAATTTCCTCTTTAAGACTATCACTGATACCAACACAATATATATTCGATTTTCCCTTATTAACATACAACCCTGTTGTCTCCCCAAAATGATCCAGGATGGCTTTAACAGTCCTGACAGGGGTTAGTTTAACCTTACACAAGATTATCAAGTCATCCGCAAACCCTAGATTGGTGAGTTGCAGCTTGTCACATTTAGGATGCATTTTTAACTGTTGGTTCTTCACTGCTACCTTAAAACAGCGGGTTAGGTATTCCATAACCATGACAAAAAGCAAGGGGGAAATAGGATCCCTTTGCCTTAGACCACGCTTCCCTTCAAAGAACCCCACACTACTACCATTAAGGCTTAACGAAAACCAGCACCCAGAAACACATGCCATTATCCATTTTGCAAACTTTTGCGGGAAACCAAAGGCTTCTAGCATCTCGTCTAAAAATTCCCAGCTTACAGTGTCAAAAGCCTTCCTAATATCTACTTTCATCCTATAGCTGGCTTTTACATTTCTCCTCCTATACAACCTAACTAGTTCTTGAGTTAGAAGAATGTTATGCACAATCTTCCTTCCCTGAACGAATGCACCCTGATTGCTATCTACCAAACTAGGCAATATCATGCTAATACAATTACAAAGCATCTTAGACATAGATTTATATATCGTATTACAACAAGAGATAGGTCTACATTCTAAAACATTTTTCGGCACAACATTTTTTGGAATTAAATAAATAAGCGTTGCATTCAATTGCTTTAACATTTTTCCAATAGTAAAAAACTCAAGTATAGCATAGTTAGGTTCCTGTGATGTCCCAAGCTTGCTTGTAGAATCCACTTTCGTAGCCATCTGGACCAGGGCTCTTCTTACTGCTGATGCTGAACATTGCAACTCGAACCTCCTATCTGGAAAAGTCTTTGAGGAGTTCAATTTGCTGTTGGCATGTCAGCTTATTCCCAGCGTCAAAACACTCCTTTTGCGCAGGCTTTCTCATCCTTTCCTGGCCAAGTAATTCTTTGTAATACCCAACAAAGGGATTTTCCACTTCTGACCAATTATCTTCTATACTCCCATCATCTCGAGTGTAGGACATAATTCGATTGTGCATTCGCTTCCCCCTGATACAAGCATGAAAATATGTTGTATTTCTGTCTCCCTCTTTGATCCAATTTTCTTTGAGCTTCTGTTTCCAAAAGGTCATAGCAGCTTTGGATTTAAGAATTAGCAGATCCGTTGCTTTTTTCTCCTCCTCTTGTAGAGAAACATCAAGTGGAGTCATTCCTAGCTGTTCTTGAATGTACTTTTGCTGCTCTTGGTCTTCTGCTACTTGCAGATCAATATTTGAGAACTGTTGCTGGTTCAAATCCCGCAACGTCCCTTGGAGCAACTTCTGTTTTTTAACCACCTGGAATTGCTTACAACTATCTATTTCTCCTTCCCAAACCTGTCTTACAATTCCTTTAAATTGTGGAGATTTACTCCACATATTAAAGAACTTGAAGGCAGGTTTCTTTCTGATATTGGCAGTTCTCAGCTTTACCAGCAGCAGCGTATAGTTAGATACTCCAGCTTGCAGGGTGGTTACATAACTGTTTTCATAGACATCTAACGAGACTTCATTGATCAAACATTTATCCAAACTTGCAAGTATTCTTTCTGTCCCAATTCTCTTATTATTCCAGGTGAACAAACTTCCTTGAGTCTTCATGTCTTCTAGATAACAGGTGTCCACCACCATTTGAAACATCCTTGTATCTCTACTTAAATCATTTGTACTTCCCAGCGTCTCTTCAATAGCTAGAATGCTGTTGAAATCTCTTGCTACGATCCATGCATGTTATACTTGGTGCTATTCTTAATAAAGCTTGCCAGAGTTTGTCACATTCACCAACTTGTGGATCACCATACTCTATTGTAATAGTAAACTCCTTTTGTTGAATAACGTGCCTCACTTTACAGTGTATCAGCTGCTTCTCACAGCAGATTACTGATACCTGAAATTCATTCTTAGTCCACATAATCAGGATTCTTCCCTTCTCTGTTGAGCTATGATTACTAATAGACTCCATCTGCCCCCTTTTTTGCTGCATTATTTCACCAACCCTTTTGTTTGTTAATTTAGTTTCCAATAAAGCAATGAACTCAGCCTTATTCACAGATAATGCATGTTGCACTTCTCTGTGTTTCAGAGGCCTGAGCCCTCTAACATTCCAGATAAGGAGATTATCCATGGAGACTAGGACCCTTGATTGATGACCAGACTCTCCATCTTTAGCTAAAACCACAGGTTCCTTATCTTTCACTTCTATCACACTCTTTGATTCAGTAGCTACAAGTTGCTTATAGCTCATCTTTTCCTTAGTACCTGCTGAACTGGTTGCTTTTGTTTCCATGTACCTTCATCCTTCTTCAGTTTCTAGCCAGGCTGAGGAATTACTTTCTCCTTCTGTACCTCTTTCTTTCTACAATCTTTTCCTTCATGCCCAAAGCCATGGCAACTAGTATATTTGACAGGCAACCATTCATATTGTACCTCTTGACAGAGAACTGTACCAAATGTATTCTCAAACAGAACTTCCTTAGGCATTGATTCCTGCACTTCCATTTCAACCAGAACCCTAACAAAAGCCAATCTCTCCTTTTGAGCCGTATTTTCGTCCATCATAATTGGTTTGCCAAGAGAACTGATAATGCTACTTAGTGATCTAGCATTCCAGTACTTAAGGCTAAGCTTAGGTAACTTAATCCAAACAGGGACCTAAGTGATCTCATCCATGTTAATGCCCTCCATAATCGACCAATCTTTAACAACAAAAGGTTTGTTGTCAAAGTGATAGATTGGATGCCTTAACACCTATTCCTTAGCTTCGGCAGTTTTAAATCTGACCACAAAAATACCACCCCCCAACATCAGAATCTTATCTATTCCCAGTTTTCCCCAATTCCGCTCACATAACCACTGATGACTTGGTATGGTGGATTTGCATCCATAACATAGCACAAAATCGACGTACTCCAATAAGTGGCCTCAGTTTCTAC